TTACTGAAATGGTTGTAAAAAGCCCAAATTTTCAGAAACGGACTATAGTTTTCTGGCCACCTCAGTGGACAAGAGATTAGTACAGCTGTTGGACTTGGTTTACCCATCCTTGCAACTGCAAGAAAAAGGGTTCCATTTGCTGTCACGACATTCGGAGAGACATTCTATGTTCAGGATACCTAAATTAATGTCTGAGGGTATTATACAGGCTTGTCTTACACAACATCAATATCACTTAAGAGGAACCGATCAAGCGCACTTGTTGGGAGAAGTCATCACTCTTTAATATGCTTCAAATCTCAAGTTTAAAGTGACTTCTGCCACCCTGGTAATTCAACCCAAAAAAAAACCAAACATTAGTATATCACAAAACGATAAGGGCAAAGTGCCCTTTTATTCTATTAGCAATTGCATTTCTGTTTTTGAAGACTGCAAATAATATTGATCGCAGTTTCAGAGCATGGATTAGTTCTGAAAGTGGGCGTCACTCCTTTGCCCTGAAATTGATTGCGACGTGTTGGACCCCACCACCAGCATATGTTCATTGTAAGCCAAATCTCCCCCCCCCCCCCAAAAAAACCCCCAAAAAAAAGAACTCAAAAACTCATCACCACACTTCTTGTTCTCTTTGTTGTTGTTTTGAAATTTGCTGAGAGAATCTTTGCAGGTTCTTTGTTCGTTTTTGTTCCTTTCTTCTCTCCGAGCTGCGGAGAATTAATGCCGGAACAGCTCCACTTCGTCCACATGCCATCTCATAAAAGTCGCCACGTACGGCTCCCTATGGCATTATTGCTTTCCTGATCTGATCCTGCATCCTCCTTGTTTCCACACTCACTTCATCCCACAACTCAAAATCATACTCACTAACTCCTCCCCCACTTTTCTTTTTCACTCTTCCTCTACCTTTGCATAATATGTTTTAATTGTTCATTTATTATGTGTGTGTATGTTTGTGTGCTGGGATGTCAAGCAGTACAATCAACTCATTTTCTTAGAGTTTTGAGTTGAGATGCAATGTTCTGGCCAGTTAAATCCTCTTTTTTGGAGAACAATTTTAACACACATATGAATGCCCATCTACTGTTTGATATTTATCCAACAAGCTTGTGCGTGTCTCCTAGTTTTCCATTGATTCCTTCTACAATTCTGTATTCTACTTGTTGGTCACATCACATCAACCTTACATTTCCTCTCAAACCACACCAATTGACTGCTGCAAGCGACCTTGTTCATGTTCTTATGGAAGTAGCAACACTTGAAACTTTACAGGGATCTAACGCTGTCAATTACAAATTTTTACAACGTGTCAAATCAAATTACACCTGTCTGTACGTTTTTGTGGTAAAATGAGTACAGTATTGGAATGAGTCTAAAGCGACGAATGTTAATGGCGTACTCAAAAATATGCTCAAAGGGGGGCTCCACACGTTGCACCTCATTAGTGGGGAACTGAAGGGGCATGCATACCAAACCATTAGGAGAACCCTATTCAAGTATTGCAGTTTTTTCTGCATCTGCGTGTATCAGAAATAACGTGAACTGCCCAAAATGCACCATTCTTATCTTTGTTGTTAAGAAAGTGCTGTCAAAAGCTGTCTCATAGGGGAAGCTTTCTGATGTGATGTATTTGACTGCGTGTGAGCGAAACCAAAGAGTCTTAACTAACCCACTAGGAAAAGGGGGGGGGGTGAAAAAATTGCAGGTCAAGATATGTGTGTGTGTGTGTGTGTATTCCTTAGCACCCCCACACAAAATATATGCAGGGCATTCAACTTTGGCTTTTGCATTGTTTTTCTGGCTAATGTTTTTTGGGATATTCAGTGAGAAGAGAATCAAAAGGACGAATGGTGAAGGAGTGGTCCAAAGGTCAGATATGCAGCCAAACCTTAGCAAGTAGCAACAGTTTGCTGCTATATATAAGGCAATAGGTAGATTAATTATAATATGAGGGCCCAACAACACGTTTCACGAATACTTATTAATAAACAATTCTTAGCCAAAAAAAAAAAATGAAACTAAGAGACTTCTTAATTGACGCAGCTCAATCCTTTACCTATTGTGTAACTTTTTTATACATCTTTCTTGCTTTTCATGTAGCTAAGCTAAAAGGCAAGTTCTCAAGCTTGCTGAAGTTTTAAAACTTCAAATCCTGTTTGTCACACACACACACACACATGTTCGTGCAAGGATGAGATTTCCAATGTGGTCCTGTTGTTGTTGCAGGATTATTCTGATCTGTTTGACCTTTAACCCAAACTTACAGGATACGTGCACTGACAATGAGATTTTCAGGTAATAGTAGGAAGGCGTATATTTTAATCCTACCTACGGTGGAAATCAGGAGCACGGAGAACTGTTTGAGGTGTCACGGAATGGAATAAAAGGCCCTGATGATATCAGAAGGTACTTATTCTTCTCTGTGCCTAAGAATTAACAGGACACGGCCCTCTTTTCTCTGATATATCTTTCACTGCCCTCATATGAGAATCATGGAGTGGACCTGCTTAACGTGTAATGATGCCAGAAGTCTTTTGAAAAATGAAAACCCAAAGGAAGGAAGGAAGAATAGATAGATAGAGAGAGAACAGAAGAAAAGGGAAGAAGTGGGGACACCTGACCCCAAACATGAGGTGCAAAGAGAGCCGCCCATTGATCAAAGTTTGTGGATTTTGAGATCTCAATATTCAAAAAAGAAAATTACTCCAAAAAGTGTGAATGGAGGATGTGAGAGTGAGAGTCCTAGTCAAACAATGCACAAGCAGCATATATTTTAAATTACAGAGAACGCAGGCCAAGGAATTGGGGAAGGTGAGATTTTGTAACTTGTTTGACCATGTTTTTGTGTGTTTGTGTTTGTGAGTTCACTGTCCCCGTAGCAAAACCCTAATTTATTGAGCATTTAGAGGTGATCATTATAATTTTCTTTGGCTTGCCTTAGATTCCTTGTTCCCTCTTCATTTCACTCAAAGGGTTTCAGTCTTATTTTTTTCTCCGTTTGTCCCCTCTTTACGGGGTAACTCCTAGGCACACCTTCAGTTTCAACTTTCAACCAGTTTTTAAAACCAGACCTAATCTTAGTGAATCATTCATTCATTTGAAATATATATATAGTCCTTTGGTTCGTAATATAAGATCTATTTAACTAATTTGATTAGATTAAGAAAGTTAGGTAAGTTAGTTAATTATAAAAAATATGATATATATTTTCTAAAACACTATAATCATCTTTCTTAATACCCTACCCACTCACTTATTTGATTATGATTGAGGGAGTATCATAGAAGTAATTTAAGAAAAATTAATAAATATGAGAAATAGGTCTTATATTTATATTTAGAATCAAAATTTACTTAATAATTAAGTCCTATATTAATGATAGAAGAGGTGTGTGTGTGTGTATATATATATATATATGCCAAAGATAAAGTGTGAGAGTTGAAAGCAATTTATTTATTTTGCAGTTCTCATGGCTTTTTAAATCTTCGGCGAAATAATGCCGCTTGACCCCACCACCTTGCTAATTTTCCACGTACGATGTCTTCCCACATGGGTCAGTTTTATGCAGCAGCCAGCAGGCTGGCGATTCAACGGAGTTAAAAATGATTAAACTTGGACGCAGGTGGGTCCCACGCCCCAGTTTTTCACTTTATTGGTCAAAATCAACCATTCTTGTTCTTAGGTCAAGCTCTACATTATTGCCGCGACGATGTGGCTCATTGTGTGTTATCAGATAGATTTGGGGCACAAATTTAATTTCAGCCTTGATTTCAGCGATTCCCCCACGGATACGCAATTTTACACAAAGACTGAAAGGATTAATATTTTATTCCTTGTGACGGATGTTATGTATCCGTAAGCTTCCCTTGCACGTGTACGTTTTCTACTGGGATTATTATTATTACTATTACTATTTTATTATTATTACTCTTCTTATTCTAAATATAAAACTTATTTTGTAGTGTAAATAACTCATTTTGTGATGCAGTTTACACCACAAAATAAACTTTATATTTAGGATTGAGAGAGTACTAAATGAATTGGCCTTATTGTTGGTCTAAATAGCAAAACGGTAGTTATAGATGTGACATTTATCCTGTCACTGTGGGTGATCATAATGTTCCTTGACTCGTGTATTTTAAATTAAATTATACTTCTCCGTTTCTAAATATAATATTTTTTAATATAATTTACACTATAAAAGAGGTTTTATATTTAGAATTAGAAGAATATTAAATATGATTTTGAAAAAATATCAACTGATTAAATTCAGCTCATTTATTTGGCCAAAAATTTTTTTTCAGGTCATTCAAATCCATCTTACTAATTAAAAAAATGCCCACAAACAAAATGGCCAACCCTGTGCAATCCAATAGGCGATAAGCTCCACATAGTGCCCGCTGCCCCCTCCCTCCAAATAATAAATAAAGATAGGGACGTGGCATCAACCAAAGCCAGTACAAATCAATACAAAAAATAGTTGAAAAGCTAAAAGTAATCGTTTTTTTTAAAATAATTATTATATGAATCTGTCAGGTTCATCTTGAGGATCCGCCAAAAAAGTACTCGTATTAGAATTCCGTGCTTTTTTTTTGGTGTGGCATAGTGTACTGTTATTTTTCTACCGAAATAGATTTAAATGAATTTTGCTATTTATTATTGAATCATGCAATATAAATATATATGATGGGCACTATTTTTTTTTCTGGTAAAGAAGTAATACTGAATAAAAGGTTATACTCTACTTAATTTTTAAATTTATTTATTACCTAGTGGCTATTAATTTGGGAGTGTTGGTGTGGGTGGGGCAGAATAGGCAGACAAATATGGGTAGACCCGCCCGGATGACATCATCAGGTCGGGTTCTACATTCTTTTGTGGGCCTTGGACCTGTCACTTTCAGGTCCATAATGAAAGCCCACTGGCTGCCTCCCCCACCTTCCTTCCTTCCTTCTCTTTTTCGCCCATATAAGCTCCCTCCTTCCTCCTCTGCCTCTCCCTCTTCTCTTTGCATCCGTCTTAACACAATCATCCTCTTCCCTTCTCTCTGTCACGAGACTCTCAAAAAATGAAACCAAAGGACAGATTCTTCGATAAAGGTATCAGTTTTTAATCCATCTTCCATATATATATATAATATCATTCCTCTTCTTCTTCTTCTTCACTTTTATACATATCTACAAGTTCAGTGACATTTATATAAGCGTAATCCGTGTTTCCTCTTTGATCAGCATGCTAAAGCTTGTACTGAGATGACGATGACGATGATCTTATATTGCAGGTCCCTGTAAGGGCTCCTTCACCATGCATGTGTCTGGCTCTTTGAGAATTGTGAGCAATTGCCATGGCCAGAAGGAACCTTTCCTTGGAGCTGAAGCTGATGATGATGATGATGCTTCCTCTGGAATGTTACTTGTGGACGATAGTCCATTGTTCTTCTGATCCGGTGCTATCCTACCTGAGCTTTTAAATTACTCACTATAGGGTCTCTTCTTCATCTAAGTTCTACCCCCCATTTTTCCCGTCTTCTTCTGTCATTTGTGTTTCTTATTTGAGTCTTCTTGACCTTGTAAGACCTTTTCTTGACCTTGTAAGACCCCATGTGGGGTCTGTGGTCTTTGTTCTCACTTCTGTGAAAGACTCTATATCAGAATCTGCTGATATAGTGTTTGATCCCTCTGTTTCCCTTTTTCCGCCCAACTCATCTTCTCCTTCCTTGTCTATCCCTCCTGAGCTGTTTCAGTTTTCGGCCAAGCATGCAACAATTCCTATTAATATGACATGACACCAAAAAAAAAAAAAACTACAAAGGAAAAGCCCTTGAAACCCCTCAAAAAGGGCTTCTTGAAATGTGCCAGCAATGCAGATGAAGCTTGACTTGAAGTAGACTTTAGGGGCTGGTTTTTGCTTTTATGATTGTGGTAAGAGGAAGCCCAGATCGAGAGTAATAATAGTTAAAGAAAGATGGGGATGTTGTGTGAGAGTTGAAAAGCCAAGTGCGTATCAAGTTATTCTGTTAAGGCAATCAATTTTCGCTTTTGTATCATAGTGTGTGCAGAATGTTTATGCTGTTTCTGCTGCTGCTGCTTCTGCTGTAGTTGCAGGCATCTCAGTTTCGTTGTTTTATATGTTGTTTGGCTAAGAAAGTGTCTACATATTCTCTTTGATCTCTGCCCTTTAATTTAATTCTCTCTCTCTCTCTCGTGACTGCTCTCTTTCTGTACACATATCCACTGTATTATTGGAGCCCCCCCTCTCTCTCTCTGACCTTATATATATCGGCCCCAAATATTTCACAAGAAAAGTAAATATATAAACACATACGGTTCATGTATATATGAGGATTGAGAAATAAAGCTGAAGAAACTCTGAGAGGAAAAAACAAAAACCCGGAATAAGGGAGAGAAAGGAAGAGGAGGAGGATGAGATAATTCTGTGATATTTCCCTGTCTTATATATTGATTTTGGCTTTCCTTGTTTTATACAAAAGACAATTAAGGAATAAGTCATGATGAAACTGTATTTGGATTTTGCTTCTCTGTGGTCCTAAACCCATCTCTCTTTACATGCTTCCTCAAGTTTTTTCTGCAAAAAACTCCAGCCTGCATCTATATAGAATTCTTCTTCTTCACTCAAAGGGCAACTCAAAATCAAGTATTATTGTTCAAAAAGACTCTGTGTGCGTGCGTGTGTGTGTGTGTGTGTGTGTGTATGTGTCGGCATCAAAAAACAAAAGAAGGATGGAGAAAGGTTGTTTGGTTTTCAACAAAGCATGAAATGTGAATAATAATAGTTCATAGTTTTTCTCAATCAGTGATCTACAAATGGTAGCCCTACTTATGGAGATGACATGTGCAGAGACAATGATCTTTCTCTCTGTTACTGCTCCATTTTCTCAAATGGGTTGCCTATGATTCTGTGTAAAAACAAAAAAAAACAAAAAACATTAACTTCAACATTATTCGATTACATCAACATAACAACAACTACTTCTTCCAACCTTGCTTTTTTGCCGTCGCCGCAACTTCTCATAGGTGTCCATTTAACTCAAATAATAACAGTAAAAAACACATTCTTTAACTCTTTCTCTTATAATCATCTTTCAAACGTGGTCTTGCAAGTTTGAAATAAACAAACTTATTAAAAGCTCGGATATAGCTTGCTTTTTGTGGGATTGAAATCTTTCGGCTCTTGCCATTGTATTTGACTGAGTAGTACACTTTGTACTCAAAAGCAAAGAAAAAAAGGGGTTCAAAGTGGTCACAGTTTTCAGACTAATTTGCCCCAAACGATGCAAAACTTTGGATCTTTGGTCATATCTTGTGGAACAGATTAAAGAAATTTAATTTAGAGATGAACTTTGATGAAGCTCATTGGAGGGCCTGCACTGCAAAATAGCATGCAGAGAACAGTGTGATTTGTGCGTTAATATGATGTTGCTATAAAGAGAAGGGCCAAATGTGAAGTTATATAATTAGATGTAATTATGAGATGGAGAAAAGTTATCTATATATTCTCCCGGTCCTAAATACAAAAAAAAAAAAAATCTTATATTTAGGACTAGAGGAGTATATTTTTTGAGGTTCCTCAAAATGACTTGATGCACAAAATAATGATCATGATGCCTAAAATTGGAACCTTGAAAAGCTACCTGCCTTTAACTTGTGTGTGACTCAATCATTATTCATCCTTTTTTTCCCTATGAGTGAAAAAAGAAAAAGTTATTGCTAATTATCATTAAAAAAATTTTCAAAAAATATGTAAAAAAATTTACAGCATTATATAATTAAAGGTTTTTGCAAAATCAATAGAGAAAGCTAGTGTTTCTTTTTGGTTGAGGGTTGGAAAGAGGGGAGATTAAAGTTAAATAGGGAAAGAATATGATGAAATGAAATGCATGGAAATTGGCAAAGAGATGAAGGAGGTACAACCAACATGGGGGCCCACCAGAGTCAATGCTTTTTCCATCTTTAGGTTACATGCGAACATGGCTCTTTCATTGCCATTGGGGACCCCCTGCCCTCTCTTCTATTCTTATTCTTTTAACATTTCATTCATTTTCACTGCTATTTAGCTTTTTTTTAAAAAAAAATATGGACAATTTAACCATCTTTCCCATGCAGAAGAGGACCACACATCCAAGGTGAAACTAGGTTAAATATTGAAAGGTTTTAGCTAAATAGGTCTGAACTATAATTAAGATTTAAAAGTTGAGGCTGAATTTGAGTCTGAGCCGAATCTGTATATGTTTTTCTGTTATCTCTAGTCCTACTTCTCTCTCTCATGTTGCCTTTCATAATTAGAGTAATGTTGTTTACAAAATATTTATAATTTATAAAGTTGAAATTCATAACTTTAGTATATGACAAATAATAACAATTAACAAAGGCTATTTCTACTTAGTCTTGTGCCTGCTGCAACAGTTCAAGCTTTGTATTATTCGCTTCCAATACCCTTCCCTTTAACAATGACACATCAATAATGCCCTCACCACTCCTTGTCAAGATGCTTCTTCTTTTCGTGGGATTATTCCCATTCTCATTGGGCCCACCCCAAAACAGTAGTATGCTGCCTCATCCCACACAGGCTTCAGACTTTGCATTATTATTATCATGCACTTCCTTCTTTTATGATTTTCTTTTCTTCTTATTTTGACATTTTCATATGCGCCACAAGAATTTCTAAGGTTAGAAAACAAATACGCAAACAGAAACATTTATATATAATCTTAAAAAGAATAATATTTGAATAAAAACAAATCTCTTATCATTAAAAAATAATTAAGAATTTTCCTTTCTATTCCCATCTTTTGTTGTTTACTGATCTTTGGGATGTAGGGAATGGTTCAAATCTGATAAGCAGAATGTGCAGGCTGCTCTCCTTTCTCTTTTGTTTTTCCTTGTTCTTTTACACTTTCTCTTCACTAACAAAAGGAAAAAAAAGAAAGAAAAGAAAACAGATTGCAAAAAGAAAAAAAACAATTTTTCTATTGGTGTAATCGGGCCCAGAAAGTTTCAAACTTTGCCCTTTTTGGGCCCAAAGAAAGGCCGCTCTATTTTAGGCTTGGGCTTTTCTACCTAGAAACTAGATTTGCAGCATTGGGCTATGCCCCATGGATCGTGGGCCTTCATTTCCCACTCAGCTATCTAGTTATGCCGGGACAATAACAGTAGTTTCAGTTTTTGCTACAACGTTACTAGATATTTAACAATATTATAGAACATCAGTCTATATATGTACATGTGTGATGTTATGATATTGAAAAAGCTCATATTTAGTGCAATAACAAGAGATTAATCAGTTGGATGACAGTACCTTGAATTTATTAGAGTCTAAGCTTTACTTGTGAGATAGACTCCTTCCAATAATACTCTTCCCCCCCCCCTCTCTCAAGAATTTGAAAGGCATAGGATCACTGGAAGGTGTGTGTCTGTCTGTCTCTCTCTCTATATATATACACACACATTTCTATAAAAAAATTTAGATGAGTTAGGTCTAGAGGCTTACCAAGATTAGGGTATATTTTCAAGCTCAAAGAGTATTTATAGAGATACTTATATATCACCTACCAACAAAATCCTCATATCGACAATAAGATTTGAATTCACGACTTTGTAGGTTATAAACTGACTTCTTGCCTATTGACCAACTTTTGTTGGTCACCGGAAGACGTAAATGCATAATGTTTTGAATCCGCTTTGGCAATTGGCAATAGTACACCCGATTTGTAAATGTTTGACGTTTGCCTAACGACTTACTACTGTTATCACTTTATTACTCCTATTATCTATTCTGGATTATTCCATATCTACCCCTCTCCAATGCTTCACGTTATTTAAAAAAAAAAATGCACTTCATTGAAATAAATGTTAAAAAAAAATCCACATAACATGTTGGTATATATGTGTGGGTAGCGAGCGTGCATGAGAAGCACTTGTCTGGTCCATGGAACAGTTAAGAGATATGAAAATGAGTGACGATGGATGCGACCCCCACATTAATAATGCAAGTGAGAAGCATGTCCATGTCGTGTCTATCACAAATGAATTAACTACTCCTTCCTCTCCTTTTTCCTGCTGTATCTTTTTTCATTATTTGTGATTATATGTTGATGTGGATGCATGTTCATAGAATATTTGACATAGTTAATGACACCATCCATGTTGACAAAAATTGATGTTGATGTTTTTGTATCAAGAAACAAAAAATTGGACTGAACTTGCTGGTTTAACAGGAAAACCAGTGAACCGGGGCCAGTGGTCTTGTGTGATTTAGACATTGAACTGGTATCGAACCAATCAAATCTAGTGTAAACTGGTTTGAATGATATGTTTTTATTGGTCCTATTTTCTTATTCAGCTCCTAACATTTTAGTCACTGTGAATTTAAATGAATTTTAATGAAATTTTTGGTATCAATGATTATTAATTTTAATTATTGATGAATCATAAAGATTAAAATTCTCAATGTTCTTATACTTTGTTATTATTACAATCAAATTATTATTGTAATAATTTCTTGTATTTTGTTATTAGTGATTATTGATGATGTTGTATTTTGTTATTTTCAACTAAATTACATTATTTTAATATGATCGGTTTGATCTCGAATTAACTTTGATCCAACCAACTAATCCTTAAACTACTGTCTCAATCGGTTTAGTATCCAGTCAGTTTTCTTTTTGGCTTATTTTTTACGGGTCTTATGCCCTCATCAAATACCTAACTCTCCCTTGATCTTATTTTTAAATTTCCTCTTTTTCTGTTGAATTATTGTTGATTATTAATATTACGCGTCTGACTACAATCCTTTTGATCTTATTATAAGACAACCTATTCCAATCATTACTCTCTCCATATTTATTATATTAGTCACTTTGTGAAGAGTTATCATTATCATAGTTCAAAATATAAGTGTCCTATGTAACCAAATATATATATTTATATATTTATATAAGTGTCCTATCGCGCAGTGCTTGAATTCCATCAAATGATTTGATTTTTTTCACAAATATCCATCCCCAACCCATGGGAGAGATTACAGAACAGATTAAGGATAATAACATTTATGTGGGAAGGTAAATCATTTAATTAGGGGTAAATCTAGAAACAAAAATAATTATAATTTAGAACAATTATTATTACTTTTCAACTTAAGTTATTGTTTACGCTTGTAAATTGT